GGGCCTGGACGGCTGTGGGGCGGCCGCGGCGGCGTCGGCTTCAGGCGGCGTCGCTCTCCGCAGGCGTTCCGGCCGCCCCGCCGAGAGCAGCGCCATGACGTCGGTGACGATGGGTGAGTGGGCGCGGGGGGCCCCCTCCCCTACCTGTGGGGGGGGGGGTCGCTGCGGCCCTCCCGGCCCCCCGCCCGGTTAACGCCGCTGTTGGTCCCGCAGCCACCTCGGAGTGGATCCAGTTCTTCAAGGAAGCCGGGATCCCCCCGGGCCCCGCGGTCAACTACGCCGTGACGTTCGTGGATAACAGGCGAGTGGCTCCCCCGCGCACGCCGGGTCCTCCCCCTGGCCCTGCCGGGATCGGAACCTTAAAGCAGCGGAGAATTAACGTAGACTGAAGTAAAGTAAGGAATCAAAGGGAAAAGCTGAAGGGAAGAAAGAGAGGGAGAGGAAAGGGTCCCTTCCAGTGTTCTTCAGGGCAATTATAAGCACGAAGCTATTTTATCTTTTCTCCTTCAGTGCATCGTTTTTCTCTTTCTTTTTTCAATAAATTCCTTTTATAGTTTACCCTGTCGAATCAAAGCTGTAAATCAAAAGTTCATTTTTATCCACTACCCCCCCAAAAAACAGTTCATAAAAAGCTTCTGGTCACTAATAAATTTAGGCAATATCTTTTTTCTGATAAAAGAAACCAGTTTATCCATTTTGCCAAAATGTTGTCAATTTCTCCATAATGAGAACTGTTGAATATTTAAATAACCATGTGACTTTTCTAACATCCGTTTAGTCTTAAAGGAAAAGTTCTGGCTTCAATTGAATATGGATCTTTGGTTTTATTTTTCATATTTCTTAACAAATCGTCTTCCTTTTTAACATTGTCTATATTAAAGTGTGTATTTTAATTCATTTTTAAACATTTTACATGTTTATCAAGCATGACAAAATATCCATGATGTTCATGCCTCCAAGACAAGCTTCAAGTGGCTTTATATCTTCTAGATGGAGCCATCTGGCACTTCATTTGAAGAATTTCTCCTTGTAGAGTCAAAACAAGGATTTGTAGGAATTGTGGTTTAAAGAGTTGACCGCTGCTATCTGTGTCCTTGCAGGATCCAGAAGAATATGCTGATGGACCTCAATAAGGAGATCATGAATGAGCTGGGTATCACGATAGTTGGCGATATTATTGCCATTCTGAAGCATGCTAAAGTGGTATATCGGCAGGTAAGTTCTATGGAACTGTTGCTCATCCTTGCTTCATACATTGAGGCCTCGGACATTGATGTCTTCAGGATGATCTTTCTGGTGCTGAGACCAATCAATGTAGGGCTTTTGGGATGTCTTCATAATTCTGGATTTTGTACTTTGGGGCATGGCATGGTGGCGAAGATGTTCCCCTCCCATTCAGAAGGTTGAGAGTCCTAGGTAGCAGCAGGTATTTCTGGGGAGGGGGGGGGGTGGAGAAGATATCCATGTAGGCATCAGGAAGGACACCTGGCCAGTAAAGGCTCAGCTTTATTCAGCCACCCCATCTCTACTCAAAATTAAGGGGTTACAGGATCGTAAAAAAAAAAAAAAAAGATTGTTACCTGGGGATGCCAAATAATCTTTGGCCCAGTGCAAGGAGACTGCTCTGAACGCTGCACACGGAAAGTTTCTGAAGTTAGTCTTCCAGCTCTAGAGCAAAGAAATTCTGAAAGGCTGAAATTCAGATGCTTCAGGAACTCCTGGCCATTTTTGCATCCGAGGCTCTGCTGTTCCTCAAGCTGCCTTTTCTGCAGAATGCAACATTTTAACCTGGGGGCTTGATGCGTTTCTTCTGGTTTTGTGGCCATTTTGCTGCATTTAGGGAAGACGAGTCCAGTCTCCTGACCAGCTGCTTATGGTCACTTTATCATTGTGGGCATTTTCTCCTCTAGGAAATGTGCAAAGCTGCAACAGAGTCAGTGGCCTCCAGCCAAACTGCTTTGCAATCTGAACTCCGCAGGAATGCTAATACTGGTGAGTACAGGCCGCCTGTGTTGCTGATCGCAGAGTCTCAGCAGAGTCCATGGTGGCTGTTCTTTACAGTTGTGATCTCACCGATTTCTGCAGCTGCCACCAGGATGATTGCCAACAGTTTGAGCCGAGACTCTCCACCTTCCACTCCTGTTCGGAGGCCTGACAGCAATGCCTCCAAAATCTCCATCACCGTGTCCAACAAAATGGCAGGAAAAAGCACCAAAGCAGGTAATTTTAAAAATCCATGGCTGAATGTATTTCTCTGCTGACAACTTCTTTGGTAAGCGGCATCGCTGCCCCTAGAAAACTCCTGTTACAGGCAGAGTCTGTTGCTTTTGTTGTGCTCAATCCCATTTCCGAGGAGTGGGATGGGAAATGCACTGGGAATGCTGCACTGGAGGAGAAGCTCTGCTTTTCTTAGTCTCAGCCTTCCATTTGCAAGACGAAGCGGCTGGTCACTAGGGTGTTATTGGGCAGCTCCCTGTGAGGCATCCATCCTGTCTTCAGGGCACTTGAATGAGGGTGCCAGGAACTTTTAGGAATGGTGGTGGGATCCAAGCCTGCTGGGACGGGAAAGGGGAGAGGGCTTCATGCTCTCAGTGCTACAAGGATCAGCTGTCCTTCATAAATCAGTGGTGGTTGGAGATATTTTCTTGTTTTTACCTGCTGGGAGAGTGTAAGGAAGGAAGCACATAGGCTAAAAACACTTGCAATCTTTATGGAAGTCAACAAAAGTTAAATATTATTTTTGTATAATACATTATTATTCCCCCGTGCCGTGATTGGGTGTTCTCCTTTTACAGTTAGAGTATTCAGGTCTAGGCTTCTCTTGCTTCCACAAAGGTAGAATTGAGCTGCTCAACTGGAGGACCTGGAGCCAAAAATGGAGAGGCCACTCCAGAATCAGCAATTTCTCTTTTCACATCCCAATGGCTGTGCTTGTTGGGGCCCCAGAGCAGAAGCGGTGGAAAGTGTTTCTTGAGGCATTTGCCAGCAGCACAAGGCCATCCATTGAAATGCATCTGCTTGCTTATGTCTTCTTGCTATGGCAGCTGTTGGCACTCCTCGGGCTGAGAATCCCACCGTCCCAGTGAAGCGGCGCCGCGTCACAGCAGAGATGGAAGGGAAATACATTGTCCACATGCCCAAAGGAACCACTCCCAGGACTAAGAAGATCCTGGAGCAGCAGCAGCAGGCAGCCAAAGGTACTGTAGCTATCTTGGGGGGGCAGGGCGGGGGTGCTGCTTCCCCAAAGGAAGGAGATTGTGGGAAACTTGAAAGTGGGGGTAAGGATAGGTAGATTGAGCTCTTAAAAAAACAAAATTTTGATCAGGACAAAGAGGGCATTAAGCAATAATGGCCAATTAAGAGCATTTGTTCAAACCAAATCTCTCTTTATTTAATAATAGGAGGTTTTTTGGTCACTGAGCTTTTTCTGGTCTTGTTTGCAACACTAGGCCGGGTTCCCTCGAGAGGAGCTTCTGCTCCTTGTCTCCATTCTGTAGAGAGACGTGACATCTCCTTCCCCCATTTTCCTGAAGGGAAACTCAAGGGCCTCCTTCGGAGCAGCACGGAGGCAGGGGAATAAAAAATAAATCTGCAGCTCGATTCTTTTCTTGAGAAAAGCCTTCCATTTTCTAGTCGTTTGGTAGTGCAAATGTTGTACGCATCCGTGTTTGTGCTCTCTGTCAGGTTTGCAAAGAACGTCTGTGTTTGACCGGCTTGGTGCGGAGACCGCTGGAGACACAGCCATAGGAAACAAGGTGAGGGTGTGTGTGTGTGTCTTCTTTGCGGTTGGTGGCAGTTTCTCTACTTTCCTTTCTGGTGTGTTTTCCGCTGACTCGGTGGTCCCCAACATATCGGGTGCTGACCCAGGTGCCCTGGGAGGGAGGTGGCTGTTCTAATGTGCTGGGCTCCCTGACCATGCGTGGATGGGGCCTGTCCTAGCATGCCCCTCCCTGAAGAATGCAGCCATAGCAGGTTCCTTCAGGGGGAGGACCCTTTGCCTGAGGATCTTGTTTCTGACCCAGCAGCACTGGACTTCTCTGGTTGGCTCTTCTCTTTGAAGGGCCTCCTTTCTCTCTGTGGAGGAACAAGCTATAAATGGTGGAGGGCTCTTGTCATGAACTATTTTTGGTTGGAGGCTGCAGCAGTCGCTCGTGCCAGGAAGACAACCGTGCCTTGTCAGCTGCCCCCTTACACTCACACGGATATAAATTCATTTCAGGAGGAGAGGCCTGGAGAGATTCTCTACCTTGAGGAGTAGAGCACATGAGTTTGGTGGCAAAAATCGAAAGTCTGATAATGTCTTTTCCATCTAACAGATGTTATTAAAAGGATCAAGTTTTTGTGAGCTGCAGCTCACTTCAGATGTATGAGGGACTAAAGTGAGATAAGATTTAAACAGGTGTGGTGGGAAAGGAAGACTGGTTGGTTATGTAGATACAGGTGAGACAGATTTCCTAGTGCAAGAACCCTCTACTGCGTATGTTGAGATCTTGAGATTGCCTGAAATTTTTTGATGTGACTTCATTAATCTCTCTGGCTTATCTGTGATAATGGTGATTGCCATCAAATCATTGTCACCCACTTAGATTTTCTCCATGATTGTCTGTCCCTGTCCTGGAACTTCAGCTCTTCCAAGGGTTCCCCATTACTGTTGTCCCCCCACCTGGCTGCTGGTCGTTGCCTTTTGCTCTTTCCTTCCACCTTTCCCAGCATCAGATCTTTTCCCAGAGAGCCGGGTCTCTCCAAAGTAGCATGCTTAAAAAGTTTGGTCATTTGTTCTTTAGTGAATTCTGGATCTGATCAGCCATCAATTTGTTTTCTTGGATGTCCGTGACATCCTCAGGAGTCTTCTCCAGCATCAAAGTTCAAAAGTGTCTGTGCCCTTTCGCTTCCTCAAAGTCCGGTTTTCGCTTTCACAGTGTGTCATAGAACGCTGTACTGTGGCTTGCAAAGTTCCAGCCTTTAAAGCCACACAGGCTGCGTTCGTGGTATCTTCCCCAAGCCTTGGTGTCTGCTGTGCTGAATGCTGTTCCTGACCACTTGTGTCTTTCATGTTGGCTGATCCTAAAAGGCCAAAGCTTTCCACCACTTCAGTATCTTGATTGCCAATTCTTTTTAAAATATATATATATATATATATATATATTTATTCTTTTTAAACAAAACAACACATACAAAACAAAGCAAGAGAGGAAAAAAAGAAAAACTTTCCTCCGTTTCATCAAGCGTGTCGTTTGGTTACAAGTTTTTGTGCATCAATTCTTAAATTTAGGATTAACATCACTGGTTTACATTAAACATAGCTAAATGTTTCGCTGTCATTGAGCATTATACACTCAGATTACCATTAATATTATTTCATTTGTAACAATCCTTATTTCCTTACATCCATAATTTTGATTGCCAATTCTAATTGCTTGATGGTGGTACCTGTGAACCCTCCAAATGGTCTTCCTCTCCCCTTTTGGGCATGTGAACCAATGGCTTTAAGCAGCTAGGCAAGGTGCCGCCAGAGGCCTCCCGATTCTTTGCCTGAGAGCAAGGATCCTTGCCCTGCCGGAGTGATGCTTGCTTCCTCTCCAGAGCGGAGGGACCCAGAAAGGCCCAGTCACTGAGCTCTGCTCTGTCTCCCCACAGCCCACAGGAGTCTTCAGCCGGCTGGGCGACATGCAGGAGGACAAAGCAGCTGACAGTGATGACGACAGCTCTGTGCTGCAGTATGCAGGGGTGCTGAAGAGACCCTCCCAGCCCAAGGAGATCTGCAAAGTTGGCGTCGCCGTCAAGGCTAAAGCTACCAGCTCTGAGCCCAGGCAGGGGGCGGCTGATGCCGTCACCATCGCCATCCAGCGGCGGGGGAGCAAGAGTGTGGCTGCTGCCACTCCGGCCAAGGAAGAGATGCAGGGCTCGCCTCCTCCTGCCCCAGGCAGTGTGAGCAAGAGACTGGGCAAGCGCTCGCTGAAACTCCTCGAGGCCCAGGACAGCAGTGTGACCAGCTCCAGGAGCCGGCCGGACTCTTCCTTCCGGGTCACCATAAACAGAACTTTAGGGAGCTCCAAGGTAAGCAGCTCCAGTCCTGCGGAGCCTCCCAGTGCTCAGATGGACCACACGGGCACCGTCAGTGTCTTTAAGAGGCTGGGCAGGAAGACTGTGTGAGCCTGGGACCCCGCGTGGAGGGGACTTCCAGACGAGGAGAGGGCGAGCGAGTGTGCGTGTTCATCTCTCCCTTTGTCAGCTCCCTTGGTGATGTGAGCGGGGGGCCGCATTCCGGAGCCGATGCTTCTGTGAAGCTCTTGGTTGGTTCTCCCAGCACTGCGTCCAGAGTGGCTTAGGGCCACGCACTAGTTGAGGCAGCCGAAAGCCCAGTCCTGGCAGGGTGCGAGCACTTGGAAGGCCCTGGGGAGAAAGCCAGGAGTTCTGAACGCGGCTTTTGTTTTCTCTCTGCAGGTCTTTGCTCTTTCCTAGGAAGTAGTGTCCATAAGAGAGACAGGCGGCCCCTTCCTCCTTTCCCCTTCTCTCTCTCTGTCCTGAGCTTTCATCTGCCGGTCCTGGAACACCCGCATTCCAGGAAGGGCAACCGGCCTCTTTTAGCGGATGCTGGAGCTGTGCAATTGGCAAGGCTGGGCTGGCAGCGTCCTGGGCTCCTCTCCTCTCCTGTTCTTCTCTTAAGGGTTTCGGTTTGAGAAACGCCCTCTTTCCTTCTGTGTCAGGATTCCTGACTGACCCAGCCCCATTTCTTTTGCTGCACTCCTGAAGGAAGCTGTTCTTGGATTGGGGGTGCACCCCCATCACCTCTTAAGACTTTCTTTGAGCAAACAAAAGCAGTCCCATTTTTTTTAAAGCACACACATGCGATACCTGGAGGCTCTTCCCTCACACCTGCCATGCTGAAGGCAGCTGGCATCTCTGGCTCAGTGAGAATATTTCTCCCCCACTTGTGGCTCCTGCTCTCCTTCAGTCTTGGGAGGGAGGAGGGGGAATCCTGGATTACAGCAGGCACACACCCTCCCCTGGCTCGGGCCCTTCCCCTCCACCCCCCCAGCTGGCAGGATTTGAGGCAGGGCAAGCACAGCTTTGGTCTTGGCCTTAGGAAAGGGCTGGGAGAGGGAGATCTGCCAGGAAAGGGCAGCTGGCACTGATGGGCCCCTACGATTTACCTTCGGCCCCAGTTCTGGCTCTTACAATCTCCTTTACAGAAGACCCGAGAAGTCGTCTGCCCCGCACAAGGTCTTGGAGGGGGGGGGGATCTGGGCACGCAGTGTCTTCTGCCTCCTGCTGGGGGGGGGGCTTCTGGCTCCCCCCGCACATCCCCCAGAGCCAGCGGGGCCGAAGGGGGGTGTTAGGGGGGAGCAGCGCTGCCCTCCCCCTCCCTCGTGAGCCGCCCGCAGGCACCAGGTTGCAGGCGGGGTTAGTCGGAGGCGGCTATCGGGGCTTCGGTGTTCGAAAGCGGGCTTGTCAATTGGAGTCGGTGTACATCGGGATGATGAGAGCCTCAAGTTGTACCGGGGCCGGGCCGGCAAAGCTCCGCTCACAATAAACGCTGTTTCGCTCGGCTTCCCTGCCTCGACTCTCCTTTGCCCGAGCGGCGGTTTCGGGGGAGGGAGGGAGGATCTCGGGCCGCGTATGCGCATGTGCGAGGGGACGGGTCGTTTGCGCAGCCGCCTGGCCCGGGGAGCGCGCCTGCGCAGAGCGGCAAAAGCTGGCTGGCGGCGGGGTTGTTGTCGTTCCTGCTCGCGTCCCGGCCGCCCTTCCTGCGTGCGGGCCGGGAGGAGGCGGGGTTTCCGGGCGCGGGCGCCGTCGGACCTGACGCGACGGCAGCCCCGAGGATGGCCCCGCGGCGACGCCGGTAGCGGCGGCAGGTAAGGGGGGGCGGGGGCGACGCCCGCGGGCCCCACCGCTGGCCGAGAGCGCCGCGCGCGGGGCATTCTGGGAGGGAGGGCGGCCGCACCATCCGCCGCGCGGGGCGGCCATCGCAGGAGGGCGAAGGCTCCGTCGAGGCCCGGAAGGCGCTCCGCAGGCCTCCCGCTGATGGAGCCGCCCGGCCTTCCCGCGGCGGCGGCGGCGGCGGCCCCCGAGCCCTCCTGCTCGTCCCCAGCGCTGCCCGGGAGGGAGGCCGGCAAAGTGGGGGTTGGCGGGGACGGAGCTGGCGCTGGGAGGCTCCCGGGAGACTTGGGGCTCTCGGGCTGCACCAACCGGGGGGCTGGAGGGGGGAAGCCTGGCGCTCCCCCACTGGGAGGACTCGGCCACAGAGGCTGCCCGGTGGGTGCTCGTCCAATCAGGGTGGGATCCAGGCCCGGTCGCTTTGGGAGTCGGGGGAGACCCTCGAGCAGAGCCCTCCGGCTGAGAGGCGGGGGATGCCCTGCCCGCCCAGGGCCTGCGCTGGTTCCGAGCAGAGGGAGCAGAGGAGCCCTTTCCCCAGCCTCCCTTTTGTGCCCCCGCAGAGGTCTCTGCATCCGCCCTTCTCCCTGGCCGGAGGGCGAGGCGATGCTGCTCCCTCCCAGGGATCCCTGGCCGCCTAAGTGTCAACCGGAGGGCCAGACGGCAGCCGTCCAGCCCTGCGCTCCCCGCGCTCAGCCTCCCGTCTCTGATGATCTGCTGGGAGAGGGGGGGGCGCTTCCAGGAGAGCCCCTCCCGGTGCAAGACTGCTGCGTTGACTCCAAGCCCTTCCGTCTGTGGGCAGCAGAACGTGGCCTTGGAGCCTGGCTGCCTTTGGGGCCACGGCCACTTCCAAGGCATTGGGCCTTCTTGGGGCCCTGAGTTACACCGAGGGTGCATTTCATTCGGTAGCAGTTCCTTTCTAGGGAGGGGGAAGGCTCCCCCCCCCCATGTCCATGTCCTGTATCCCTCCTGCCCTCCGCGATCAGAGTCCTTTCAGCTTTCCCAGGTCACTTGCAACTAGAGGTGCCGTGTGAAAGCCTAGCGCTTGTTGTAATGCTGAGCCGCCATGCCGGTCCGGTCCCTGCCCTCTGCCCTTTGAAAGGCCCTTTGCTTCCTGGGCAGATTCCAGCCAACGGCTCCACCTTCCCTGCGTGCTTTGAGGAGAAAGGGAAACGCGGTGGCGGCTTCTTCTTCTTCGGCCAGGGAGGCCAGCTCTGCTCTCTGCTCTTTTTCTGGCTGCCAGCAGAAGCAGAGCCAGTGGGAGGGGAGGCTGGGGCCAAAGGACCTGGACTGCTCCATTCCTTTCCAGTCTTCCACGATGGACCCCAAAGCTGTGTTGCAACTCACACACACACACACACACACACACACCATAGGCCCCTGCTCCTCTCAGCCTCTATAGCGACAACAGTCCTTCTGGAGAGCCTTCCAGCTGGGCCAAGGAGGAGATAAGCTTTCCCTTCCCACCTCCGGTAGCCATCAGGGAAGGGCACAGGAGGCAGAGGGCAGAAAGTGGCTGCTCAGAGGATAAGCGCAGGAGCACGTAGACGTCTACGCAGCACTCCAGGTGCTTTACCGCATCTCTCCCCCAGCACCTCCCCCAGGGTGCTCCTCATGCACAGTCTCTCGTGTGGGGCATCCCCTGCGGCCTTCTGTCGGTCGTGGGTCTTAGCCACCGGCCAGTGCAGACGAAGGATTGGGGGGAGCCAGGCTGGTGTCGATGGTGGCTCCGTAGAGAATTTCACAGGGTTCGGAAGTCGAGTTTGCGGTGCTGAGTGGGCAGCGGGGGCTTCAGGGTGCCCACCCAAGATCTAAGAGTGGCAGCTGCTCCCTTCTCCTCTGCAGGTCGCCAGGCCGCCTGTGGGCCCCCCTGGCAGGCAGCAGCCCCTCTCCGTGCCCTGAGGCGGCAGCAACATGAGCGAGGTGTCAGTGATCAAGGAGGGATGGCTGCACAAGCGAGGTGAGTGGTGTCCCGCCTGCCCCGTCGGAGGCCCTGAGCTGCCAGTGGGGCTCCTCCCCCAACGGAGGCCTCTCCCTTGGGCTGCTCCGGAGAGTCAGGGGGCTCCTTTGGCTGCAGCTAGCGGAGGAGGCCCTGGGTAGCCTTCCCAGAGGGGCCCTTGGCCGCCGGGCTGCGTTTCCTCCTGCCCAGGGAAGGCCCAGCGGTTGCATCCTTTGCCACAGTGGTGGCTCTATGGCCTCTACGGGGCTGGACCCAACAGTCCAGGACTCAAAAGAACCCAGCGGAGGCGTCTTGGCACAAGCCGTTGCTCCTTGTCCAGTCCTGGTTTCTGGCAGGCAAATATAGACCGCAGCTGGGGGCTATTTTCGTCCTGCCATGGCCTGGAGGGGTGGCAGCTGTGGCAACCCTCAGCCTGCTTTTCCCACCGGGGGGGGGGTTGGAGAGGAGAGCAGCCCCCCCCCCCCCAAAAGCTCTGGCCTGGCCTGAGCTGCCCTGAGCAGAATCCAGGAGGCTCCCCTCCCCCAGCAGCTCTTTCTCCAGCCGATGGGAGAGACCCCTCGGGTGCTCTGGCTAGGAGACCTCAGGGGGCCTCTTCCTCTCCCAACCTTTGCACAGGTTTTAGGGGGGTTGGGCGGAACGTGGGTGGGGTCGCCCCTCTAAGCCTGCCTACCCTGTTTGATCATTGGGGGGCGGCTGGGTTCCCCTGGGTGGTAACCCTTGGAGGCCTTTCCAGGGGAATACATCAAAACCTGGAGGCCCCGATACTTCCTCCTCAAGAGCGACGGCTCCTTCATCGGCTACAAGGAGAAGCCCGAAGCGGCCGACCACAGCGCCCCCCCTTTGAACAACTTCTCCGTGGCAGGTGCGTCGCCCAGGGCCCCTGGCAGAAGGCGGGTGGGCTGCTCCCCAGGGACGCTAGCGGAGGACCTTCCCCCACCTGGCCATGGGACCTGGGTGTCTGAGCGACCCTGGCACTGCCCTCTTCCCCTCTTCCCCTCTGCACTGGGGAAGCCGCCCTGGCTGAACTGGGCCAGTCCGGAGCCCCCTCGGAAGGGCAGGCGCCGAGGGGGCCTCTGGGAAGGCTCCCTGGGGAGACTCCAACCTGGGGGCCTTTTCCTCCTCCTCCCCCCCCCCCCCCCCCCAGAATGCCAGCTGATGAAGGCCGAGCGACCCCGCCCCAACACCTTCGTCATCCGCTGCCTGCAGTGGACGACGGTGATCGAGCGGACGTTCCACGTGGACTCTCCAGAGGAAAGGTGAGTGGACAGGCCTCCTTTCGGCCGCCATGGGCAGCTGCTGCGTTTCAGATGCCGGATGGGAGTGGTGGGTGGTCTGCTTGGGGTCTTCTTTTCCCACCCTGCTACGTCGTTCCACCTCGGACTCTTGGACCCCGCTCGTCTTTGGCACCAGAAATGCCCAGCTTCCCTGACGGTGGCGTCTCCCTTGCCCAGCAGCGGAGCCCCCTGCCTGCCTTGGCAGCTTCTTGGGGCCCCCTGCCTGCCTTGGCAGCTTCTTGGGGCCCCCTGAGCACCGCTTTGCGTCTTCCCAGGGAAGAATGGATCGAGGCCATTCAGACGGTGGCCAACAGCTTAAAGAACCAGGAGGCGGAAGAGGAGGACCGGATGGAGTACAAGTGTGGCTCCCCCAGCGACAGTCCGGGGGCCGAGGAAATGGAGGTGGCAGTGACCAAGGCCAGAACTAAGGCGGTAAGCAAGGCGGGTCTGCGGGAAGGAGGCGGCCGCTGATCGTGTCTACTTGGGGGGTCAAATTACGGCCGTGGGATTCCAGGGCTCTCCCTGAACGGCTCAGGCAGGCCAGGAGCACCCACTCTCCCCCCCCCCTCCCGCTGTGCCTTCTGTTGCCAGACCATGAGTGACTTCGACTACCTGAAGCTCCTGGGCAAGGGCACTTTTGGGAAGGTCATCCTCGTACGGGAAAAGGCCACAGGCCGCTACTACGCCATGAAGATTCTGCGCAAAAAGGTCATCATTGCCAAGGTGGGTGGACGCTCCGGCCCCTCGGTGGGGGGGGGGGAGGCTTGGCCAGGCCAGCAGCAGACTGCCTTGGGGGACCAGCCAGAGGGCTGCTGCCCAAGAACAGGGCAGAGGGAGGGGGGGCCCGTCCAAGGCTTAGCGGCCAGGGGAAGGCGTTTAGGGAGGTCCTGCTCTGACTGATCCAAGCCATCTCAAGACCTGCAGGATTCTCCTAGGGTGGAATTCCCCCGCCTCTCCTTCAGAGGACAACACCCCCCCCCCGGGGGTCCTTCCTCAGAAAATCTGGGGGTGGGGAGGCACTTTGGAGTGGGGGGGGCCTTTCTGAGCCTGGCGAGAGGGAGAGAGAAAGGAGCTCTCAGAGAATTGGATTCTGGGAAGCCCCCTTCCTCTCAAGCCACCCAAGGGGAGAATGGATCAGACCAGAGGGCCCCCAGCCCCCCAAGCGCACACAGGGAAGTTAGCCTGGTGGCCCAGGAGCGCTGCCTGTTTCAGCCGTCTGGCCCTGGGAAGGGCTGCTGCCGCTCCTCCTGTTTCCCCGGAGCCAGGGGGGGGGCCGCCTGGGGGCGCTTGGGGGTGAAGGGTGTTTGCCAGGCGCACTGGGTGAGGAGGCTCTTCTCCCTTCCAAGGATGAAGTGGCCCACACCGTCACAGAGAGCCGAGTGCTGCAGAACACCAGGCACCCCTTTCTCACGGTACGTCCAGGGGGGCTTTGGAATCCCTCCCTGCTAGTCGGAAGTGCTTCTGGGCTGAGTCGAGGGGGCGCCCGGGGGTCCTGCCCCAAGGGCCCAGGGGAGGCCGGCTCAGTTCCACACCGAGGCGTGAAGGTGAAGGAGCCGCTGAAGCACCCTCCTCGTCTCCCCCGCCCCCTTCCCACCAGGTGGCATCAGAAGGCACAAGGCGGAAGAAGAAGAAGAGGAGGAGGAGGGTTGTGTGCCAAGCCTGGGGTTGATTTTAGTCGGAGCGCAGGGCCCTGGTGGGCAGGGAGGGAGATGCCATCCGCCTCTGAGGGAAATCTCTGCCCCCCTTTCTAGGCCCTGAAATACGCGTTCCAGACCAACGACCGCCTCTGCTTCGTCATGGAGTACGCCAACGGGGGAGAGGTGGGTGTCCGCCCGGAGCCCCTTCCTGGGAGTGGCTGCGACTCTCTCTCTGGAAGCAGGAGTGGCCTGTAGGCCTCCCTGTCTGGCCGCTTCCCCCTGACCCAGCTGCTTCCCTTCCAGCTCTTCTTCCACCTCTCCCGAGAACGCGTCTTCACGGAAGAGCGCGCCCGCTTCTACGGGGCTGAGATAGTTTCTGCCCTGGAGTATCTCCACTCGCGGGACGTTGTCTACCGAGACATCAAGGTGGAGATGAGGGTCCAAAGGGGTGGCCCCGGGTCAGCTGTGCGGGGCGTGGGGGGGAGGGGCTCCCCTCGGCTGGGGCCCAACCGCCTTTGTGCCTTTTAGCTGGAGAACCTCATGTTGGATAAAGACGGACACATCAAGATCACGGACTTTGGACTGTGCAAGGAAGGCATCTCCGATGGGGCCACCATGAAGACCTTCTGTGGGACACCGGAGTACCTGGCCCCAGAGGTAGGGCGGGAAGGGCGGTTCAGCCTGGCCCAGTCACAGGGCGTCCGGGACCTCCTCCTCCTCCTCCGGGGCCAAGACCGGCTGTGGGGGGGGCTTTCCCCCCCCCCCCCCCCCACCAAGCGCTGCGTGTCTCACCCGTCTCCTGCCCTTTGCCCCACAGGTGCTGGAGGACAACGATTACGGGCGGGCCGTGGACTGGTGGGGGCTGGGCGTGGTCATGTACGAGATGATGTGTGGCCGGCTGCCCTTCTACAGCCAGGACCATGAGCGCCTCTTTGAGCTGATCCTCCTGGAGGAGATCCGCTTCCCACGCACCCTCAGCCCCGAAGCCAAGGCCCTGCTGGCCGGGCTGCTCAAGAAGGACCCCAAGCAAAGGTGGGGGGTCCCGGCTGCCCCCCTCCCTCGAGGCCTTGAGAAGCAGAGGGGCCGACCTGCCAGGGCTCCTAGGGCTCCTAGGGCTGGGGGGCTGGAGGTGCCGGAGAGCAGGGGGGGCCATGAGTGGGATCTTGGGGGGGGCAGGGGGTCCCTCGAACAGAGTCAAAGGCCAAGCTGTGGTTGGCATGAATGCAGCATGAAATGAACGCTTAGCGCATAGTAGTTTGCACGTATGACGTGAGCGCCCTCCTCCTCTGGGCAGAGTATGCTGTGAGGAAGCCTTGGGGGGGGCAGCTGTGGGCGGGGAGGGGGAGAGCTGCCACCCTGACCCTGAGGAATTCCTTCCCCAAAAGGGCTCGGCTCTCCCTCAGTCGGGATTTGCCCTCCGACTGAACCTGTGGGCGCACTCACGCACACAGAAAGCAGTTAACCAGGCCTTTTCTTGCCAGGCTGGGGGGCGGCCCCACCGACGCCAAGGAGGTCATGGAGCATCGGTTCTTTGCTGCCATTAACTGGCAAGACGTGGTTCACAAGAAGGTAGGCCCTGCGGTGCTTCTCCCCTCTGGGGCTCTCCTGGGTGGGGAGGGGGAGTTGCAGCACGACCCCCCCCCCCCCCGCGGCGAACTAAGCAGGCTCTCTCCCGCCAGCTCCTGCCCCCTTTCAAGCCCCAGGTGACGTCCGAAATAGATACACGGTACTTCGATGACGAGTTCACCGCCCAGTCCATCACCATTACGCCACCAGACCGATGTGAGTAGGGGGCTTTGCATTGGCAGGCCGGGAGGGGGGGGGCCTCATCTAGTTCTTTGCTTCTGGCTTCACTGGAAGCCCCCGGGCGGGCTGCTCTTATCCACAGATGACTGCGTGGACCCCCTGGATGCCGAGCAGCGGACCCACTTCCCTCAGTTCTCCTACTCCGCCAGCATTCGGGAGTAGGGCTGCAGCGCCTGCTGGAGAGAGCCAGGACCGGGGCTGATGCCACCTGCCCACGTCTGGAGCCCAGCGGAAGAGCCGGCCCCGTCGGCCCCTGCAGCCAGGACCAGCTGGCTCACTTCAGCCCATGTCTCCCTGCCCCCCTCCCTCCCAGTGCCGCATCCTCCCTCTTTGCTCTGGGCCACCGCTGAGTTTCACACGGAAGGTGCTTTGGCCTGTGTGGTTGGCCGCCGAGGGCCGCTGTGCTGGCGGAAGGGCAGGGAGCACCGTTCGCTGCCTCGTGCGTGGGATGGCAGCCTGGACCCCAGAGGGCGGAGGACCCGAGCACTGTGCCTTGCAAGGCTGTGCTAAGAGGGGCAGAGCCCCCAAATCCCCCCCACCCCCGTTTCTGTGGGATAATGGCCGGCTGGCCGGCCAGCGCTCAGGTGCCTCTTGGGGTCAGTGGCCTGGCAACTGTTGCCTTGCTGCCCTTTGGTGGGCTTCCCCATCACCTCCAGGGGGGGCTGCTGCTGCTGCTGCTGCTGCTAACAGGAACTTTGAGCTGCCCTTCAAATAATGGGGACCTGGCCCCCACTTAGGACATTGCCCCCCCCCCGACAGTCCCAGCTGCTGTTTGCATGGCCCAGCAATGGCCCTCGCTGGAGTGATTGGGCCCAGCAGGCCATTGGTTCCCATGAAAGGGGGGGGGCTCCCCTTGGGGAGGGAGGGGGCTCCCTGGCCCCAACAGCGTTTCCTTCCCTCTTTTCAGCTGTGGAAGATGCCTGCCTGCCTCTCCCGTCTCTGGCCCTGTGGGCAGAGGCCTCCTCCCTCCTCCCCCACGGCTGCAGGGCCCTGCCCTGGGAGGGAGGGAGGGAGGGAGGGAGGGAGGTTTGCTACCCCAGCCCTGTGTGCCCTGACTAGGGAAGGGACAGGCTGGGCACAGAGACCGCTCAGCTGAGTTGCTGCAGAGGGCCCAGAAGCCCCCCAAGCAGAGCCCCTCCCCTGTGTTGCTAGAGGCGGTTGTGGTCCCCTAGCAAGCATGGCCAGAAGGTGGGGTGAGCTTCCTGCAGCCCCAGCCCCACCATCTCCCCCCCCCCCGTGCAAAGAGTGGGAGGCCTTCAGGGAAAGGGGCTGCTCCAGCTGTGTAACTGGCAGGCCAGAGGGGTCCCTCCTGCCCACCTATGTCGCCCCTCGGGCAGGTACCCGAGGACGCCACCTGGTGGGCTGGAGGATCGCAAGCGCCCCTGAGCTCCCCTTTGCTCTGACTCCTGTCGGCCACAGCAGAGCTTGGGTTCCCGTGCCGCCTCCTGGGTTTGGGGGAGCCGCCTGTGCCAGGGACTCCTGCCAACTCCACCATTGCTCTGGGCTCCACCGCGAGTCTTCTTTGTACAAAACGGGGGGGGGGGTCAGCGCTGCATGAGCCTGGCTGCAAACATCCATGGCAGCCCTGCCTGGCCTCCCGTGCCTCAACTCCAGTGGCAGTGGCCCGATTCCACTGGGCGAAGGCCCCAAGCAGCCCCCGATGCCCTGGGGGGCCCCGTGTCACGTCGGAGGGAGGGTGCGGGGGCTCCCTCAGTGAACGCAGCTTCCAGGACTCCTGGCCGGCTGCCCCTGGTGCCGCCTGCTTGCCTTGAGGGTGGCTCCCATTGGGCACTCCTGAGGGTGGGGGGGGGAGCCCTGGCTGCTCCAGACCCACCAAGTGGCCTTCCTTTCAGCAGACCCGAAGTGCCGGCAGCCTCCGAGCCTCCGTGAGCCTTTTGGGCCTGCCCAGAACCGATCAACCCAGGAGGTGCCTCAAACTGGGGTTCGGCTTCCTGGGGACGACGTCTTGTGCCCTGCTGAACTTGTAGGGCTGGGGGGGGGGGGATCTCTGTGACGCTTGGGGTCTTTGGGGAAAGAAAAGTTTTTCACGTTTGCTGTAGTTCTAATTCAGATTTACTAATTTAATGTTGCCCCTGTTAGGTTAGAGTGAAGCTCCGCTCTGTTGTGGGGCGTTTTCCGCCCCACTGCTGGGAATCGGCAGCCCCCCCTGGCCCTCGGCCGACAGAGATCCCGAGTTCCGTTTGTAAAATAAAGTTTGCTGGAGTGTTTTTGTAAATGTGGCTGATAAGCACAACAACTGGAAAGGCTTTTCCCCCCTTTTTGGTAAACCACAGAATTGCCTTCCTCCACCTTCACATTTGTACGGTACA